TTATTTCTTATAAACTATCCAGATTCACAGAGAGACAGAAAAAGTCAAATTATGAATAGGCTACCTTTATGTATTTCTACTGTAAAAACCAAGATCTGATATGTTACCTAGAATGACTCCTTAGTTAGGATGTATATCATTAGAATCTCTGAGACATAAAACATTAGACACAGGTTGTCATAATATTTTCAAAGTGTTCTTTTTTTTTTTTTTAAAGATTTTATTTATTTATTTATTTTCCCCCCAAAGCCCCAGTAGATTGTTGTATGTCATAGCTGCACATCCTTCTAGTTGCTGTATGTGGGATGCGGCCTCAGCATGGCCGGAGAAGCGGTGCGTCGGTGTGCGCCCGGGATCCGAACCCGGGCCGCCAGCAGCGGAGCGCACGCACTTAACCACTAAGCCACGGAGCCGGCCCCCTCAAAGTGTTTTTATTAGAAAAAAATACCATAGTAATAAAACATACTCCATTACTTTGCTTCTGAATTTTTCAAGTACATGTGTTAATTTTACTTGGTGTGAGACTTTCAAGAAGAAACACTTTCGGGCTGGCCTGGTGGCATAGTGGTTAACTGTGCGCGCTCTGCTGTGGCGGCCTGGGGTTCGGATCCCAGGCGCGCACCGACACACCACTTGTCAAGCCATGCTGTGGCGGTGTCCCATATAAAGTGGAGGAAGATGGGCACAGATGTTAGCCCAGGGCCAGTCTTCCTCAGCAAAAAGAGGACGATTGGGGACAGATGTTAGCTCAGGGCTAATCTTCCTCACAAAAAAAAAAAAAAAAAGAAGAAAGAAAAAAAACACTTTCATATTATTCACAAAAAAGAGAAATAACTGGACAAGAGTGTACATGAAAACTATTCCACATCTCATTGGTAGTGAAATAAATATAAATTAAAGCAACTATGAGATATCACTTTTGATCTACTGGATTGGCAGAGATTAGATTAAAAAAGACAAGGAATCCTCAAAGCTGAGAGGAGTGCAGGGAAGTACTAGACTATTCTATGTTGATGGCCACGATGTAAACTGATACAATTGTTCTAGAGAGCAATTCATCAACCTCTGTCAAAATTCTACAAATGTGTATAATTAACTTTTGGGTTAGGATTATAGGTATATTTTTTACTTTTCTTATCTGCAATTACTTTTTATTCTATAACAAATGTGTAGATTTTGTAAAGTTAAAAAGATTAAAATACTTACACATTAAACTTTTAAAACAAAAAAGTACAGGTTTTGACCATGGGAGTAATTATCTATAACATGAATAAGAAAATGTAATCCTCAGTAAGATTTAAAGCAATTTCTATGTGACAAATAAATAGATATCTGAATTATAACATTAAAATGTATATCTATACTGAAAAAGAAATACAGTATTAAAAAACTTTGGGACATACTAGCAACTTACTATGCTTTTCTTTTTGGCCATAAGATATTACTCCTAGATAAAGTTTATCATTAAACAGACGTTTTCCCAGAGAAATAATATTATCGTTGGTGGTTAAGTATTCAACTAAAGACTTGGCATCAGATACTTCAGATACAATTAACAATGTCAAACAAACAAAAATGCTGTAGATTTAGTAAAAGGGGCATAAACATATTGATTTTATAAGAAAACCAATGTACTAAAAACTACTGAGATACAGCATTTGAAAGTATAACTAGTACTTGACCTATTTAAAATACTATACTAAGTTTAATGAATGTTACATAATTAATTAAAAATTGTTTTGCTTGCCTTATTAGAATTAAGGTGAGTTCTGGAAGAAATTATTGGAATAGCTCATCTCTGATTTTGTAAAATTAGGTACTGGAGTATAGGATGTTGAAACTGATGAAGCCCAACTCCCAAAAGTTGCTGTGGCAAATGGAGGCATCCAAATCACTCCACTGACCTTTAAGCAATATATATGCACACTAGAGTATTTAAAAGTCCTCACTAAGGATTCCAAGTATGAGAGTTTTGGAAAAGTCATCTCATGGATTCCATCATGCTATAGACTAACTTTATGGTATGGATGTTTGATAACCATTAGCTAGCCAGACAGATTTGTGAGCCTCTGCTTTACCAACAATTCTCCCTGATACCTACTGCTCCCCTGGTCCATTCTTCAGAGTAATGGGAAACACTGCATGAATCAAAGTGTGTGGATAAGGTTGTTGGAAAAAGAACAAAGGATGAGGACAACAGAGAAAAAAACCAAGACTTAACCCCAAATATGGACTATTTAGAGTAATAGGAGACTTGAAAGGCATGGACAAGGAACTTCAAAACTATTAATAATAAAAGTCTTTGTTTTAGTTAACAGGAAACCCACAAACTTTTCCCCCTGAGAGTAACACATCTGTTTACAAAAATCTGATTTCTAAAACTCACAAATTAGGTGATGATAATTTGCTTTGAAAAACTTCCCACAGGTTTCTAATAAATGTACTTTTAAATTGTGATTTGAGTTACCACGTTTGATTTTTCTTTGTCCTAAGAGATTGTCTAATCAAATTCATTCAGTGGAAGGATTTAATTTTTTTCTGATTTTATTCTTGACACGTACTAATTCAGCTTTTTTTAAACAGTCCCAGTAAAGAGAAGCCCAGTGTCTCAAAAGTAGAGCTATTCAAAGCAGACTGTCCAGCTACAGGTCAGATTTTCCTCACACAGAATTGAAATCTACTTCCCTGTAACTGATACCCTCCTGCTTCTATTTTTGTCCCATCCAGCCATCCAGGATAAAGTCTAACCCCAACCCACACCACAGTTCCTGAAACATCTGAGGACAGCTATCACATTGCTCCTATGTCCTATTTTTACTAGTAAATATCTCCAGGGTAACTGTGTATAATTCAGTGGAAACTTCATGGTCCTGGAGTCAGAGTTCAGAAGATTCTTGGTTGTATATTATTGGAAAATCTCTCTAAGCCTCATCTAAGTTTCTTCATCTGTGATAGGGAACATCCTAGCCTTACTAGGGTGTTTTGGAGAAGCAATGAGTTGGCACAGCTGATGTCCACTATAGTGCTTGACTCAGTAAGAAACTCAAGAATGTTAATAACTCTCTCTCTCCCCACCTTATTACTGTTTGTCCTTAAAATGAGAAGCTTAGACGTGAATGAGGCACTCCAGATACAGTGTGATTGGTTCAGAGTTCTGGAGATTGTATTCCTAAAAATGTCTCCTGAGGCATCAAGAACCTCAAGTTCCCACAGAATTTTAGTCAGCCAAAAGCCCACAAATTTTATTTATATGAAAATTAAGTAGGTCTCTCTTCCCTATCTTGTATCATGATTTCTTTCTGATTCTCAATGAAATACTACAGATTAAGCTGTGTTAAATTCCATCTTGTTAGTTTTGGCTCATCGTTCCAGTCCTTTGAGGCCTTTCTGGAAACAGAATTATTTTATCTAACTTATTAGTTTTCTCTTCTAGCTTTGTTTAATCTACACATTTCTGTCATGCGGAACATGGCTATGCGTGCACGTCTTCTGAGATGTATATTTCACAGAAGAGACTACACCAGACTTACAAGCAGCACAACTGCCTGACCCGAGTTTTCCCTCCTCTTCCCTACTCTGTACTTTCTCTACGAAAGAGGCTGTCAGAGAAAGGTCCTCAAGCCACTGGCAGTGCTACAGGTACTCCAGGTGATTAATAGGCTGGTCCAAAGGAGAATGGAAAGACATAGGGTTCTCATGCAGTAAAAGGAGAAATTAAGTATTAGATATACTATGGCCTCGTCACTGAGAACCTACCAAAGGCAGCTCCGGGTGGTCACCAGTGCCACCAGCCCTGTCAGCTTGGATAAAATTTATGGTGTAATGTAGAAAGGAACATAGGCTTTGGAGCCAGACTTCCTGGGTTCAAATCCTGACACCACTGCTCGCTTGCTGCATAATGCTGGGCAAGTTACTTAGTTTCTCTGTGCCTTGGTTTCCTCTTTGGTAAAATTATAGTTATTACTTTGTGCTTTGATATCAAAACAATATCTAAGCTTCAATAGAAAGGAAAGAAGACAGGAAGAGAGAGGAAAAAAGAAAGTGAAGATGGGAAGGAGGGAGAGGAATTACAGAAAGTCATGGTGAAGGTACAGTCTTATTCTTGCTTTTTAAAATTGTTTACTCCAACCTACAACTCAAATAAGTTTTACTTCCCTCTGCATTGAGAGGTTAAGCTGGGTCAAATGAGAATTCCTTCTTGGTGGCCAAAACACAGAGTCAGTGTCCTCAGGGTCTTTGCCTTTTCAAAGTGGAGAACAAATTTAAACTTGTCAAATGACTGACTTACAGGCAGTAGAAAGAACTGTGAAGAATTCTTAAGGTATATAATCTTGTCTCAAATAAGTGCGAATTCTCCCATGTTCTGATTACACTGTACTCTTGCACTTTCTTCAGTCATTTATGTATGACTTTTCATTAATTAATCATTTATATTAATGGACTATTACAAAGATTTCCTTACTAAATTTTCTTAGCATGATTTTTAGGCCTTTGTGGTCTCACTTTCCATTCTAGTGCATGTGTACTTCATGTGAGTAGCTGAACCATGGAGGCACCAAAACTCAAAGCTCCACAGCTAGTGCCATAAGCCTTGCCTTGGTGGGCTCCCTCCTCCTTCAGTCTGGCTCCTGAGCTTGGCTCTGGCTCCAGCTTCAGACTGGTTCTCTGGCCTCTAGGGCTGGCACCGGCCCAACCTTACTCCCCTACTTCCACCCCTAACATGCTGTCTTATGTTAAATTAAAACACATACCACAGAAAGGAGACACTGAGAAAGGATGAGAAAAAATAATGCAATATGAGTAAAGGGCTGGGGTGGGGGAATAACTCATAATTTTTCACTTCTGTTTCTTTTTACATACAATCAGCCCTGGGAAGTTGTCTATGTTAACAGAACAGACATGCATTCCTACATATGTATATTTAAGAATATGTATATGTGTACACATATACATATACAACAATACATATTGCTAAAAATGGATGAATACTTCATACTGACCTTAGGGGGTTTAAACGGATAGTCTGGTGAAAAGGTAATGTCAAGAAAGAACACCCCTCCTTCATAGACAGATCCTGGGGGTCCCAATATAGTTGACCTCCATTCATAAATGTTGTCTCCTTTGGGTCCAGCACTGAAATAAGACATACAAATGAAATGTGCTTAGAGATTACATAAAGCCTGGAATTTAAAAAAATCTATTTATGGTAACAATAAATTGAGCAACTTCATGAAAACACAACAAAGTTAATAGGTTAATTCTATATGATGATTCATTTGTCAATATCATCAATATTCTAGAAATGAAATATGTTGGTATTACTTAATAAAACAGAATCAAGAAGATTCTGTTTTGCCATTCACAACCCTAAACCTACGGAACAAAAGATTTCAAGGGTCATAAATCAGAGGTAGCAGCAAAATGTTTAATAAATCACAAAATTATTTGTGAGGTCCTGAAAAGAGTGATATAGTCAAAGGGTCAAAAAGACAGATTTTCAAAGCCAAAAGGGCAGCTAGAGAAAAAAATAGTCTAATTCCTTTGTTAACAACTGAGAACACAAATGAGGTTCATGGAGATCAGCAAATGTTCATTATCCATAGAACTCAGTTCAAGTATCATATTTCATCTGAAACTTCTTTTATCTCTCTCCACCCAAAGAATCTCTGCCTACCCTTCCACCCCCACACATCACAACTAGTGTAGTCTGTGGAAGATAAGATGTATCATTTAGTTTTATAACTGTGTTTTTTATTGTTTACTTTTTCTGTCCCTCCCTAGAATAGAAGTTCCTTGAGGAACAGATTTTGCCTTGATTTTAGTGCCTAGTAAGTAAATGTTTGTTGGATGAGGACGGATTAACAGCAAAGCAAGGGACATGGCTACTAGCAGTAAACATACATCCTAGTATCAGAGAAACTCACTAAGGAAAATAAGGCCCACACAACTCAACTGAATTGTATTAATTCTCTTAGGTGAACAGAAGAGCAAAATGAGATTACAATTTAACTTTTCAGTGTTCTTTTTGCTATATCAAGCTAATACCTACATCTAATAGCCAGAAATTCTCCTCACACCCTGTAGCAAAGTGGGCAATCCTGTAAAGGTGCTTGGGAAAGATTTTATTGTCAACAAAGATTTAGCTTCTATTCTCTCATTTCAAAATTAGTTTATATCTACAAAAAATTCACTGTTGAGTAGTATATCAAAAAGCATGCATCTTAACCAAGTTGGGATTATTCTGAGAATGCAAGGATAATTTAATAATAGAAAATTATTAATGTAATTTATCTCACTAACAGATTGAAGGAGAAAAGAATGATAATCTCCATAGGCACAGGAAAAGCACTCTACAGGCTTTAATAACAGCCATTCATGGTAAAAACTCTTAGTAAAATTGGAATAGAAGGAAACTTCTTTAACCTGATAAAGGGCATCTACCAAAAAACTCACAGTAAGTAATATACTCAATGGTAAAATATTAAAAGCACATCCTTTAAAACACTGAGGAACAAAACAAGGACGTCCACCATATTCACTTCTAATCATTATTATACCAGAGATCATATTCATCAAGGTATGAAAGACACAAGGAAAAAAACAAAACGTATATGGATTGGGATGGCAAAAATAAAACTGTTAGCATCTGCAGTATTTACGTACACAGAAAAACTCTCAAAACCTATATACAATTTACTAAACTTAATAAAAGGGGTTAGCAAAGAGGCTGGATATAAGATCAATATGCAAAAATCAACTGCACTTCAATACACTAACAAAATTAAAGATGTGTTTTTTGTTTTTTTTTTTTAATAATTTTATTTCTTTATTTTTTTTCCCCCTAAGCCCCAGTAGATAGTTGTATGTCATAGCTGCACATCCTTCTAGTTGCTGTACGTGGGACGCGGCCTCAGCATGGCCGGAGAAGCGGTGTGTCGGTGCGCGCCTGGGATCCGAACCCGGGCCCCCAGCAGCGGAGCGCGCGCACTTAACCGCTAAGCCACGGGGCCGGCCCTAAAGACGTGTTTTAAAATATCTTTTACAATAGTATTAATAACATAAGGAACCTGTGAATAAATTTCATTAAAATATGTAAGATTTTTATGGAGAAAATTATAAAACTTCTTGAAATACATTCAAGAGAATTAAATAAATGGAGGGAGATACCAAGTTTACGGGTAGGGAGACCCAGTATCCTACAGATGTCAATTTTCCCTGAATTGATCCAATGCCAATTCCAATCAAAAGTCTAACAGTTTTTTTAAAAAATAAACTCGACAAATTGATTCTAAAATGTGTTTAGATGCTCAAAGAAACTCTTTGAACTTTTCCACACCCATATGAAAATCTGATATATGTCAGAACTAATGGGACTAAGAAAACAGTTTTTGTATTTGGAAAATAGAGAAATTGCATTTCTAACTCAATAAACATACAAAACTCTGTTGTAGATGGATTAAGCACTTAAATACGAAAGTCAAAAGTTATGGAGTTTGACTAAAGAGAGTGACAAGCCACAAACTGAGAAAAGATATTTGGAACATATAAATTGACCAAATTCTAGTGTCCAGAATATACAAATTCCTATGAATCAAATAAGAAAAAGACTAACAATCCATTGGAAAAGACATAAATAGGCATTTCAAAAAGAGGAAACATGAATGGCCAATAATCATATGAAAAATGCTCAATCTCATTAAAATCAGGGAAATTAAACTTAAAATTACAATTCAATACTATTTTACAAAATATATAGCCAAAAATAAATGCCTGGCAAACCAAGTGTTGATGAGGATGTGGAAAAACAAGAACTCCTATACAGTGCTGATGAATGTGTTCAATCACTTTGGATAAGAATGTGGACTTAGCTAGTTAAGTTGAATATATATACTCCTATATTACAACACAGAAATTGCATTCCTAGGTACATTCCCCAGAGAAATCTTGATACACGTGTACCAGAAGACATATACAAGAATGTTCAGGGAAGCACTATTTGTAATAGCAAAATTGGAAACAACACAAATGTCCATTGATAGAAAAACGGATAAATTTTACCTAAAGGCATACTACACAGCAGTGAAAATATACAGATTAACATGGATGAATCTTAAAAATATCATATTGAATAAAAAAGAAAGTCTAAAAGGAATATATACAATATGATACTATTTCTACAAAGTTTAAAAGAAGCAAACAAGAAAATATATTGCTGAGGGACACACACATATGTGGTATGGCAAGAAAATGAATGAGAACCAAGTTCAAAAGAGTAGTTTCCTGGGTGGAATCAGAGGGCTGAAGAGTAGCACAGACGACCTTCAAACATTCTGGTAATGTTTTACTTCTCAGTACGTATGGTAGATTCAGGAGTTATCTGTTTTATTAGTAGGTTTCATAGCTTACTTATGTGTTAGATATGTTCTTATATATGTATCAAATTTTTATATTAAGAAAAAAGTATCCAAAAACGTTATCTGAGAACAGCAAGTTGCAGCATACGTACAAGTGTGATGCTACTGTATAAAAGAGAAACAAAACAATATTTTATATTGTTTATGGATACATATCTATGTCAAAGTCTTTTAAGAAATGAACTGTAAAGATATATCTAAATTCAGGATCGTGGTTGTGCAAGGAGCAGGGGAGAGGTAGAGTGGGGTGATGGGAGGAAACAGATCTGGAGACGGGGAATGAAGAAGAGTTCAATTTTACCTCTAGTGTTTGATTTCTCTTATTAAAAAAAGATTAAGTAAAAAACTAAAATAAAATAGTTAGCCAAGTTTTTTACAAAGTGCTGAAACATTTTGAGAAGCAGTGCTGCAAGGGACCAGAGTACTGTATTCCTGCCCCATCTTCCCCTTTATCTACCTCTCCTGAAGCTGACATAGACAGAATATAGTCAGGCCAAATGACAATAAAGCTTTGGCAACAACAGCCCCTTACTCCCAGACAAGCTCACTCATTCAGATGAATAATACACATGGTTACATCCTGAGCTATAATTAGACTCAATATGAACAGATAAGTTTATCAGAAGGAAGAGCTTAAAAGTAGAGTAAATTACAGGTTTGTAGTTACATTACTTCAAGGTAGATGAAGAAATTTAGTTTAAAAAATACACACAGGAGAGTATACAGTTATGAAAAAATGTGCACAGACACATTTCCCAAATACGAAGATATAATTTCTCTGAGTTACTTTGAGAACTCTTAAGATGATCTTCCAAGAATGATAATCACAGTTAGTTATATAATTTAGGCTAAATAAGGAGTCACCAAATAGTGACACCAAAGAAGGGACTCAGAAGTAGAAAGCAGAACATCATAAACGTGGGCAATGTCTTTAGATAATTTACATTCAATTTGTGCCCATTCCAAGTTTTACCAGGCTCTCAGCGAAAACTCCAAATTTTATTGATTCTTTGAAGTCAGTCAGCTGTCTACGCAGTTATTAACAGTGGATTAAATAACACAGCTGACATTATCACTCTGAGTTGGTTTATGCTGCCAAAATGTGTCTTTTTAAGAAAATACTTTACTAGTAGTAACAAATTATCTTGAAAACAGATTGGTGTTTTAAAATGAATTTAAGATTAGTGTTACTTCCCTAATATATAGATTGAGTTTTAGCAATATGGCCTCCTCTCTCATCTTAGAAATGGCATGTCTGCACCACTTGCAATCCCCAAGCTTATAGCAGTGGTTCTTGAATCACACAGCCCTCTGTCTCACTCCTATTTTGATATGTCCCAGTTGAGAAACCCTGGTATAAAAGTCCAGAACTGTGATGTACAATATGGTACATGTAGCTATTGAGCACCTGAAATGTGGCTAGTGCAAATTAAGATGTGCTGCAAATGTAAAATGTAAAATATGTACCAAATTTCTATGAGAATGCAACAGAAAGTAAAATAATCATTACTTTTTGTTAATTACATGTTGAAATGATAACATTTGGGATATATTGGGCTAAAAATATATTAAAATGAACTTCACAATTTCTTTTTATTTCTTTTAATGTGGTTACTAGAAAATTTAAAATTACACGTAGCTCACACTATATTTCTATTTGACAGTACTGTTCTAGAGCAGCACTGTCCAATAAAACCTTCTGTGATAACAAAAATGTTC